GGGGACCATTGGGGAGCAGGGCTGGGAACCCAGGAGTCCCCAGTGTGGAGCTTCTGCTGAAGTCAGCAGGAGGGTTGGGGATGGCGGTGATGGTACTGAATTAGAATTCCTGGACTTGGGCCTAGCCCAGTCGGGTGTGATCCCCTTGGAAAAACCCTCAGAGTAAAGGCCTCTTGTTGAGGTCAAAGCGAGCACCTGGCCTTTGGAGCTTGGGGGAGTGTCCCCATTTCTTCCTCGAGGGAGGCCTTGTAGGGCCTGTCCTGCCTGGTGCGAACTGTCTGCCCCCCCGCCCACAGACTACCTGGTCAACGTGATGGACGCCCTGGGCCTGCAGCCCTCCCGCACCCTCCAGCACGTCGGCACGCTTCTGAAGACCAAGCCCGAGGACTACAGGCAGGTCAGCAAAGGCCTGCCCCGGCGCCTGGCCACCACGGTGGCCACCATGCGGAGTGTGGACTACTGACCCGTGCACCGGCCCAGGGAGGGCCAGGGCTGTGCCCCGGGGTCATGGCACCTCTCCAGAGTGGATTGGCTCTAAAACTGCCGGGATTGGGTAGAATTGGTTTTAAATAGATTTTCATTTGTGATTTAAAAAACCCCAAAAAAACAACAACAAAAAAAACATTGTAAATTAGAGGTATGTATATTATTTATTAGAGGAATTTTCAGATGGGTTTTTTAATGATCCGATCTTGAAAATGGAATTAATAAATACAGTGAAATGCAAGGACGTTCTTTTCTTTCCTTGTTACTCAGTGAATGTTTGGGTTCTTGCCATGTGTCCGCTCTAACACTGGGGTACCTGCAGGGAGGGAGGGAGGGAGGGAGGATCGGTAGGTGCCCAGCACAGAGGAAATGTCAGGTATCAGGGAATAAGAGGGCATCGGGTGGCAGGCAGCCGCGGGGGGATGGGGGCAGCCTGGGACCTGAGGATGGGAGATGGCAGATGGGAGACCCTGTCCTCCAGTCACAGGTGGAAGCAGGTGGGGCGTGGTCAGGGGCAAGGGGCTGGGTCACGGGGTCCTGTGGGCCTTTGTGAGTGTGAGGACTGGCTTTTCCTTCCCATGTTTAAAGCTCAGGGATGGTGTGGATTCTGTCTGCTTTTTGCCAGTAGCTTCTGTGTCTGTTAAGAGTGTACTTGGCTACGAGTAACAGAATAATGCAACTTGAGTTAAATAGGAGTTGGTTTTTCTCAGTAATAAGATGTTGAATGGTGTGGCCTCGGCACTGATTCAGTGTCTGGACGAACAAGACCAGTCTGTCTGATCATGACCTTTCCCAGGTGCGGATCCTCGTCCTCATCCTCACAGCGGCTCCTGCAGCCACAATTGGGGGGCAGAGGGCATGGCTGAGCACTTCTGTCCCGCCCCCTAGGGAGGCAAAGCCCCTGCCAACTTTCTCCCAGGCCTCTTTGGTCATTTTCTTGGTTACCAGGTCCCTCCCCAACTGCAAGGGAGGCTGGGAAGGCAGGGACAGGACTGGTTCCGCCAAGGTTTCCCAGCCTCGGCACCGGCGATGTTGGGTCTGCCCCTCGCCCTGCAGGATGCGTGGAGCATCCCTGGCCCCTCCCCACTTGGTGCTGGCGGTGCTCCCCTCGTGTGAGCCGAAAACGTCCGCAGACCGCCCTAGGCAGCGTCGCCTGCAGCAGAGAGACCCTGGCTGAGCCCACTCAGGATGCGTTGCCTGGGCGGGGCTGTGACGGTTCCTTAGCAGGGAGAGGAAGTGTCTCACGGGCCCCCTGGGTGCTGTGTTCCTTCTCTCACCTGCGCCTCCCAGCAGCCTCCGAGGCAGGAAGTACGGTCCCCATTCTGCACACAGGAACAGGTTTGGAGAAGTGTGGGGGTGGTCTGGAGTCACTCAGCTGCCACGTGGCAGGGCCGGGGTCAGAGTGGGCCTACGACTGGCCCCTGCTCTCCTGAGCGCCAGGCCCAAGGCCTGCAGTGTGACCTGATCCCAGCGGGACTTCCTTGTGCCTCTGGGGTGGCACTGCCGAGCCCAGGCCTCCGGGACCGGCCCCACCAGGCGGCCAGGACAGCTCTGCCGGGTCGCCCAGGGGCTCGGGCACAGCCGTCCTCGGCCTTGGCACCGGCCTTGGTTCCAGAACAGCATCGCTGCACCCACACCAGGAAGAGGTCTTGGTTCCCCTGCGGTAGATCCCACAGGCACCCGGCAGGGGTCGAGCTGGCTGCTGCCTTGGAGAAGGGAGGCCAGAAACCCGGAAGGTGTGGCGTGCGGCGGCCGTCTCGTCTCGGCACCAGTGTCCCCGGGGGCCACTGGCTTCAGGCCCAGCTTCTGGTTCTGTGACCTGGGGAAAGGCACTTCACCCCCTCATTTCCCAAGGCACAGGGTCACTAAAGAGCCAGGGAGGTGCGGCGGGGGCAGGCTGCCTGTCCTCGTGTGGGTTACAGAATGCTGCTTCCTGGGCAGCACAGGCCTGCCCACCTGATTTCTCAGCCCTGGAAGGCTCAGGGGGCCCAGGGTAGGGCGGCACAGTGACCTCCCCTCTGCAGGAGAGAGGAACGCCCGCCTGCCTGCCCGGAGCTGCCTGCAGACGAGAGGAGGGGCACGGGTGCCCCCTCACCGGGCTGGCCTCGCATCTGCAGGCAGCTGGGGCAGGACGCACCTTCCCGCTCCTGCTTCCAGGTGTGTCTGAACAGCCTCTCGTGGCTGTTTGCAAGGGCCTGCCCCCCGAGGGTTCACCGAGGCTGGCCTGCCGCGTTGCCCACCCCCAGGCACAGTGGTCGGTTCAGAGTGAGCCTCGTTCTTGGGCTTTTGCAGGGGCGCTGTGGGGGAGCTTTCTTCCCAGTGTGGCTGCTGAGCGGAGGGAATGCGCCTGGGCTGGGGGAGGAATGTACACAGCGAGAACCTCTGAGAGGGACACCGAAGGCAACAAAGCCAGTAGCTGGAGAAACCACCAGAGCCAGGTGGACTGGGATACAGCCATGCCGACCTCCTTGGACACGGTTCCCGTTTTAACTTAGATTAGTCAAGTTAACTTGCGACCAAAGAGCTGGTGAAGGGGCTGGACACTTCTGGCTCTGCCTGCCCCACAGCGGCAGATGGGACGGCAAATCTTGTCACCCTGAGGCCCTGGCACTGGGATTCCTCTGACCACGGGCAGCAAGCACGGGGCTGCAGTCTCACTCCATCACTCACTAGAATAATAGCGATCTCGGGCACCTTTACCTCTGGGTCTCAATTTATTTACCTGTAAAATGGGGTGATAATATTTCTCAGTGGAGATGAGAATTCAGTGAAATAAGACTCATAAAGTGCTTGGCCTGGTGCCTGGCATGTGGGAAGAGCTTGATACAATATAGCCATTGTTTAATAACAAACGATAACAGTGAGTGTGGTGACAGCAACCACGAGTGCTAATAATAAAAGGAGCAGTCACAGTGGTAAACATGGTCATTACCAAGCTGTGACTCCAGCCTGCAGACTCGCCAGGCCCTGAGCTGGGAACACTCGCTTTCCCCAGACCCCCTGCTCGGTCTCTGGTGATGCTGCCGTTGCCAGAGTGGCACCAAGTCTGTGGCACCTCCTTTCTCCACAGGTGCCACCTTCCACACCTAACTGGAGGCCAGCTTGTCCGCCCTCCAGGCCAAGGACCCAGTGTGGTGGACTGCAGCAGGCCTGGGCGCCACACCGGGCTCTGAGCCTGCTCCCTCAGCACGGGCACCCCCAGGTGATGGGCCCTGCAGCGGGCAGCCGTCTGCTCCTGCCAGACCTCTGTCTCGGGAGCCACAAAGGTTGCCATGGTAGCATCAAAAATACAGGACGCTGCCCTGGCAGGGTGCTCAGTGGTTAGAGCATTGGCCCACACCAGTGTCGTGGGTTTGATGCCCAGTCAGGGGCATGTACCTGGGTTGTGGGGTCAATCCTTGCCCCGATCAGGGCACGTGTGGGATGCACCCAGTGTGTCCCTTACATCAGTGTTTCTCTCCCTCTTTCTCTCTTCAAAACCAATGGAAAAAAATATCCTTGGGTAAGGATTAACAACAACAAAAAAAGACAGGATGCCAGTTAAATTTGAATTTCAGAAAAACCAGTGAGCCCTGGCCGGTTTGGCTCAACAGTTAGAGTGTCAGCCTGCGGACCAGAGAGTCCCGGGTTCGAGTCTCACTAAGGGCATGTACCTTGGTTGCAGTTTGTCCCCGGCCCCAGTTGGGGTCCTGTGGGTGGCAACCACTCAGTGTGTCTCTCAGATCGATATTTCTCTCTCTTTTTTCCTTTACTCTCTCCCTCCTGCTCTATCTCAAGATAAATGCAAAAATGTCCTCGAGTGAAGATAAAAACAAAACAAAAAAAACAGTGATTTATTAGTATATCATACCCCAAATGTTACATTGACGTATTTCTACTAAAAAGTGAATTTGTTGTTTATCTACAATTCGTGTTTAATTTGGCAGCCTGTGTCTTACCTGGCACCAGGGAGCCTGTCCCCACCACCCTGGGGCCGTGTGGTTTCTCTGGGAGCCAGCTGGCCTCAGTGCATCAGTCTGACCAATTCAAGCAGCCTATCCAGCTGGCCACGCCGATGGGTTCAGGGGCTGGCCTGTGACCCAGTCAGAGACCAGTGAGAGCTGGCCTGGGGACGGGGGTGGCGGCGGAAGAGGTGGGCCCTCAGCTCTGCGCTCGGAGCTGGGCTGCACTAGCACTGCTCCGGGAAGCACACAGCAGGAGGCTTTGAGCTGCTCGGGCTTACGCCAGCTGGACCCTGGCTCTCCGTCTTACAACCCAAACAAGTAAGTTGGGTGGTAAGAAAAACGTCCTGAGGCTGCTGCTTCAGGGACAACTGGAAAGGGACTTTAAAGTCACCTGCTTGGGCCTCTCCTTGGCCAGGCCAGGCTCTCAAGCCAGCCTGGATGTCCTTCCGCCCCCCAAGGTACGTCCAGGCGCTTTGGCTCCATCAGATGAAGAACAAAGCTACACTCAGCGGTTTCTACTTTTATTTTCTGGAATAAAACATGTGCTACCTGGCAACCCCCTCCCCCCACCCGGCTCTTCCTGCTCTGCATGACCACTGCCCTCATCAGTCCCATCCACGGAAGCTAGCCAAGGCGGGGAGAAGGCCCGGATGCTGGGGACCTGCAGTGGTGTGCGACTGCTCACCCCTGGAGAGATGGTGACTGGCCAGGAGGGAAGTGGCCTGCCCCCAGGGGAGGGTGTTCTCAGGTCTGCAGCCTGGCTTAAGCCTGGCCGGTTGGGGGTGGGCAGAAACCAACTGAGTACACGGCCCCTACATTCGTACCAACACTGTGACCCTGTGGGGCCCCTGGCCTGGGACTGGCTAGGAGCTGCTGGCCTCTGCAGAGAGAGACTGGACTGGACACCTGTTGTCCCAGCCTCGTGGAGAGGGCCTGATGCAGTGAGGCCTTGGGCACAGTCCTTGGGCTGCCCAGGGTGGGCAGGGCAGGGTCTAGATGGGATCGCCCTCACTGTCAGACTCGATGACATCCAGCGGCTGCAGACGCAGGGAGTCATAGTTGGGGGGCGGGGTGCCCGGGATGGGCAGGGTCTGCTCATCGGGGTAGGCCCCGGGTTTGGGGCCATGGTTGGCTGTGTCAGGCTGGAAGGCAAAGTTGGTGTGAGCCTCCACCAGCTCGGCCACGGTGGGTGGTGGGCCTGCGTAGCGGGCCTGGGCCCGCCTCTGCCGCAGGCCCTTGAAGAAGGCCACCAGCCTGATGACAGTGATCCACAGGAAGTCGATGGCGATCTCCGCAAACTCGATGAGGCACAGTACCGAGCCCCCCATCCAGAAGCCAAATTGGCCACCCAGATTGGAGAGCAGCCAGACGATCTGTGGGGAGTAGTGAGCTGAGAGCGGGCAGGGGTGGGGCAGGCCTCAAGGACCTGCCTGGAGCCCACCTCCTGGCTCCGGGGAGCTGGGTTGTTGACTGGGCAGGGGGAAGGGTGACCATCTCAGCCCAGAGAAACCATGTGCTTTAGAGACCTTTTAATGCCTCTGTGGGGCCGGGGCCCTCCTGACCCTCGGGGTGCAGGGTGGAGGTGTCAGGAGCCCCCATACTCACGTTATTAGCTGCTGACTCCTCAATGGTACGGTAGTTGAATTCTTGGAAGTAGATGTTGAGCTTCACAATTCCCTTCCTGCAGGAGGCAGCAGGGACTGCAGCCTTTGCCCGAGACACACACGCGTGTGCGCGCGTGGCGGCCAACGGGCTGCCCCAGCCCTCCTCTGCTCTAGCTTCCCACAGGCCCACTCCCATGAGTGTGAAGTCCCTTCCTGGCTCCTTTGTGCCTCGGGCCACAAAGGGCATCTCTGCCCAGCACACATCCTGTGGGCCTGCTTCTGAACCAGCTTCCTAAGGGATACCTTGGCCCAAGACAGCCCCTGAGTGCTCCTCTCTCCAACCCCCAGGATGGCCCAGCCCATAGGCAGTAGACTCCACAGAGTCCTAAGCCCTGTGCCATCAGGAAGCCTGGGGCAGAGGAGGGTGGCAAGTGGGCTGCCCCCTCAAGCCTCATGGTCTTGAGAAAGGCTAAGCTCTCTCATGTCCAGGCTTCTGCCTGGACATTTTTGCTTCTTAGTTTTCTGAATAATTCTTACTCCTCCTTGGAGGGTTAGCTCAAGTGCCACCTCCCTATACAGACCTCTCTATCTCTCAGGCACATGGAGGCGGCTGGGACAGCTCATCACCATGATCTCTCGTCACATCTCTCTCCTCTTGACTCAGGTTTCCTGATATATGGGCCTTGTGTCTTTTTTGTGTTCAGTGTATGTTTGGATGGATGGATGAATGGATGGAGGATGGGTGAGGGGGTGGATGAGTGGAAGAATGAAAGGATGAATGGATAGATGGGTAGAAGATTGGAAGGATGGATGGATGGATGGATGGATGGATGGGTAGAAGACTGGAAGGATGGATGGATAGAAGGAAGGATGGGTAGAAGACTGGATGGATGGATGGATGGATGGATGGATGGATGGATGGAAGACTGGATGGATGGATGGATGGATGGATGGATGGAAGACTGGAAGGATGGATGGATAGATGGATGGATGGGTAGAAGACTGGATGGATGGATGGATGGATGGATGGATGGATGGATGGAAGACTGGAAGGATGGATGGATGGATGGATAGAAGACTGGATAAATGGATAGATGGGTGGGTGGATGGATGGATGGATGGATGGATGGATGGAAGACTGGAAGGATGGATGGATAGATGGATGGATGGGTAGAAGACTGGAAGGATGGATGGATGGATGGATGGATGGAAGACTGGAAGGATGGATGGATGGATGGATAGAAGACTGGATAAATGGATAGATGGGTGGGTGGATGGATGGATGGATGGATGGATGGATAGAAGACTGGAAGGAAGGAAGATTGGAAGGATGGAAGGATGGATGGATGGATGGATGGATGGATGGATGGATGGATGGAAGACTGGATAAATGGATAGATGGGTGGGTGGATGGATGGATGGATGGATGGATAGAAGACTGGGAGGATGGAAGGAAGGAAGGAAGGAAGGAAAGATGGAAGGAAGGAAGGAAGACTGGAAGGATGGAAGGATGGATGGATGGATGGATGGATGGATGGATGGATGGAAGACTGGATAGATGGATGGGTAGAAGACTGGACGGATGGATAATGAATGGATGGAAGGATGAATGATGGATGGATGTGTAATTGGGTATATGAACAGGTGACAGACGAAGGAACAGACTCTTCTTTAGGGAGTGGTAGACTGAGTCCCCTTGGCTGGCCTTTCTCTCCCTCCTCAAGGCCTGACCCTGGAGCTGACCAAGGTGTCTGAGGAGCTGCCCAATGTCCAAACTTCTCTCCAGAGGCGCTGGTTCCTGCCCTTCCCCAGCCCTGCCCAGAATCCAGGCTCACCTGCTCAAGGTGATATTGGTGCTTTGGTCCCGCTCCTGAGACAAGACATGGAAAATCCAGTCCTACAACCCAAGAAGACAGCTGAAAAAAAATGGCACCTATCCCATCCCTCCCAGCCATGGGCCCTGCTCCCTGTGTGAGGCAGACCACAGCCCTGCATCTTCCTGACGCCCCCCCACCTGGGGACCACGTGTTGGGACGGGGAGGAAAAGGAAGGTGAGGCTGCTGTTAGGGGAGAAGGCACCCAGTCTCCAGACTCTTCCCCGAGGCTCAGCCATCGTCTCCGGCCTCCGGCCCCTGCACCTGCTCTCCTCTGCCTGTCCTCCTCCCCAGCCCTGCCTGTGCTGGCTCAGCTCCATCACCTCTGTAGGGTCCTTTCCTGACCACCCTATCTAAAGAGGCTTCCCTCAGTTACTCCCTTATTGTCTGGTTTACTTGCTACCCATCACTACCCTACTTTGAAATGATCTTATTTCAAAGACTGTCTCTCCAACTATAAGGTAAGCACCATAAGGACAAAAGACTGTGTCTGTCTGGTTCACTGTTGTGTCCCCAGCACAGTGCTGGGGTGGGGGGAAAGGTCAGGGAAGGGGGATGGAGTAGGAGGAAGGGCACCCTCTCCAAAGCTCCAAGCAGCCTGCAGACCCAGACAGGCCCCAGACAGAGATGGGGCCAGGAGCTCGGCCACTCCAGGAGCACTGGCTCACCTCAGAGGCCTCCGAAGGCCAGTCGGCCATGGAGATGGTCATCTTGTACTGGGTGTCGCTGGAAGAGAGAAGGCAGCCCTTGCTGTGCGGCCCAGGCGCCCTCGCGGCCGCCGGCCCCGCCCGGCCCCGCCCAGCCCCGCCCGGCCCCGCCCAGCGCACTCACTTGCAGGACTCCTTGCACATTCGGATGCAGGTCTCCCTCTGGCCCAGGCTCCTGCGCAGCTCTGAGTAGCAGTAGACTGGGCAGGAGCAGGAGAGAGGTGGGCAGACTGAGCAGGCTGTCTAGGTGCTTTTCTCTGCCCCTTTGAGCCTCTGGCTGCCATCTGCCCTCCCGGCCCTGGGCCACTTAGGGTCTGTGACTGGGGGCAGTTGTCTCAATCCGAACTCCCCTGCCATGGAGAACCATTCGTCCCTGGCCCCCATCTCCAGCCACTCTGCCCCAGCCTGGCCTGGGGAGCCTCCCCCCAAACCTCCGCTCAGCTCAGTGAGACCAGGGCAGCTCTGCTTGTCATCCTCAGTCCGGAAGGGGCCGGGGTGACAGGGTTGTGCTGAAGGGCTGGGCATTTGGAAGGGATACAATTTCCCTCCCATTCCCACGTGTTGGTTGTAAGAGGTGGTGGGACTCTGCCGCTGACAGCATCCTGGCGTTGGGACCGGCCACAGGACACAGCTCAGTGTGAGCCCTGCAGGGCTCCTCTTCCTCCCGTGGCTCTGGTTCAAGGCCTTGGAGGTCACCTCCCTCTCCCCTTGCCCAGCACACCACAGAGAGGCCAGGGAGGCTGACCCACGTGGCCCCGTGCACACGCGCACACATACCAGTGTGCACACACAGGCCCTGGAAGCACAGGTCGGTGCATGAGCACATGCCCAGCCGGGCACCACGGTGTCGGCTCAGTTGCACATCAGAACACACAAGGACTTTCACACAGGTGGGAAACACGCATGCACCACACCTGGCTCATGCGTTTGGGGTGTTTTTGTGGCACACAGACAGCCCACAGACGCAGCCACATGTTAAGCGTACAAGTCATGGAGTCACGGTGTGGAGGGGAGCTGGCTCCCCCTGGGAGGGGTGCTGGGCGGGGAGGGGCAGTGAGCTGTGCAGGGGGCTGAGCAAGCCTGGGCACACCCCTGGGCCTTGCTGAGGGCACGAGCTGCACGCCTCCCTGGCGGTCAGGGCCCTTGTGGACTAGGGTGCCGGCGGCTGGGGCCCCACTCACCCCAGTCTGGGAAGTCGTGGCTGTTGCAGTATTTCTCCCCGTGGGGCAGCGGGTACAGATAGTGGCCACAGCTGCAGTTACGGATCATGTGGTCTTGGAAGCATGAGCGAATACAGGCCTGGGGTGGGACAGGAGGCCACAGACATGACCAGCGATGTCCACCGAGCCCCAGGGGAAGGGGCCTGGGGAACCTAATGCTCAGGCCCAGTGAGCTGGGGCGTCTGGGGAGGTGTCCCTGCAGCTGAGAAGCGGTGAGGTGGCCGAGCTGTGCCTCCTGTCCTTCCCTCTCCCTGTCCTTCCCAGAGGACTCAGGCCGCTCCCTGCGGATGGCCCCTGCCACCTCTCACAGTGAGGCCCTGGCTGCAGCAAGGGGTTTGAGGCCAGAGACAAAGAGGGACTTTCCTGGGACATTGATGAGGCGCTGACACACCCAGTCCTGTCCTCAATCGCAACAGCTACGTTCTAGGGTTGTTGTGCGGATCAGATGATGTCACGTATGTAAAGTACTTGGTAGGGTCTCCCTAGCACAGATAAACCTGCCACTCCTAGCACGTTAATTCACACTTACAATAAAGAGCATATATAATAATGAATAATTACTGTTAGTACATTATAACTCTGCGGGGGTACTGAAAGGATCAAATAAATGATGATGTAACACATGCAAACACTTAGCGGCTCATACGCACAAAGGTTCCTCTTAGGGGACCCCAGAGTGAAAGCCTTAGAACCCTGGGCATCCCCAAGGGCACACCTGCCAAGGGGGATGACAGGTGGGCGCGTTGGGCCCTGTGAGAACCCAGGGACTGGCTGGCTCCACGGCCCCAAGTGGTCACAGAAGTCCACACAGCCAGCCTTGTGGGACAGCTGTCCCAGGGATGTCAGCTCAGGCCAGGTGCCATGGAGGGCCCAGGGGCCCGAGGCCGCAGGCACGCTACCTGGATGGAGTAGGTCGTGTTGGGGTCCCTGTAGAGGTTGTGGACGGGGACGTCGGAGCCGTTGAGCGTGCACTGGCTGTAAGGCTTGCCCTTCCGCTGCAGCTTGTCCTGTGGCAGAGGGTTGGCGGGGCCCTGCTCAGCCTTAGGAAGCCCCCGCACGTGCCTCCCACTCAGCAGGTGGCTCTAGGGTTCTGCGAGGGGACGAGAGCAGGGCCCAGCGGTGCTCATCTTTCCCAGAGCTGGCTGCCCTGGGGGTCCGGCCAGAGGCCCGGCGGAGCGCACCGCAGGGACGGCCAGGGCTGGAGGGGCCAGGTCCCCCTCTCAGGCCACGGGTCGGAGCTAGGAGCTGGGCTTCCCCGGGGTTGCGGCCCTACCACCAGCACGCCGATGGATGTCTCTGTCCCCGGCAGGGCATAGATGCCCTCATCTTTGACGAAGGGGTACGACCTCTGCTCGTGAAGCAGCAGCCGGGCGCCCGCCGTGGACGTGAGGAAGGGCACGTAGTCCTCCTGGCCCAGGTCCAGGATCAGCTTCAGGCCTGCGGAGGGGCACCGAGGCTGCCTGAACTTGCTCCCATTAGTCCACGCCCCTCCATCCAGGGGACCTCCAGGGCCTGGCTGCAAGCTGGCTCCACCTCGGGAAAATCCAAGCTCCTTGTCTTCTCCCAGGCCCCTGTCCTCATCCCAACCACCGTCCTCTCTTCCCTGGCTCCTTATGCTCCCCCACCCATATGGCAGGTTGATCTAGGGGTGCAGTGGGACCCTACCTCGCCTTACATCCAACCCCTCTCAGCGCCTGGGCTCCTCCTGAGGCGAGGCCTGGGGAACACTGCTCACCCCCACCCAGGGGGCCCAGCTGTTCCTGCAGGTCTCAGCCAGCGCTTCCTCCAGGAGCCCCTGCCCACCCAGCTGGGTCTCAGGGCTCTGCCATGTCCTCTACCAGCTCCGGAATTTCCTTCCAAGAACCTGCCTCCTCTTGTGAATCTTTTTTTATGGACTGTCTTCATTCCCCCCTCAACCGGTCCCTCCTTGAGGGCGGAGACGCAAGGCTGCGTTTGTGGGGCTGCACGCTGAGTGCTGGGCTAAGTGGTCGCACATGCAGCCCCCCTGCTGCTCAGAAGACGCACGTGAGGTAGACACTGCTATCAGCGCCATCTCACAGATGCGGAGACCGAGGCGCAGAGAGCGAAGGGACTTGCCCAAGGTCACCCAGGGAGGAAACGGGTTGCTGAGATTCTAACCCAGGCAGCCGGCGCCTCCATCCTAACCCTCTGCCCACGTGAGGGAGTTGATGCGCACCTCTCTGGGACACGGCGCGGCCGGGTACAGAGCTGGTGAAGGGCGGTCAGCCCCCCCCCCCCCCCCCGAGGCCCCGACCACGGTCCTGAGGTCTGAACGACAACCCGCCTCTTGGAAGCTGGCTGGGAGGTGAGAGCCTGCGAGGGGAGGAGGGCTCTGCCCGGTGTGCCACTCCCAGGCCTGGGCGCAGGGCCTTCCCAGACACAGGCCTCCGGCAGCCTGTCACCGCCCCGCGCGTCCTCCTGTCCACCTGCTCCCTGTCCTGTCTGCTCTGGTCCTCTCTGGTGAACCGAGTCGGGCGCTGCCACGTGTCAGCTGGGTGGTGTTGGATGAGTTCCCCAAACTTCTCAAGATCCGGCCGCAGAGCGACGCCGCCTGCAGGCCCCGTGCCGCCCCGCCGTCCGCCACCCAGCGAGGTGTGCGCCTGGGCTGTGCGACCGCCTTCGAGGGCAGGCAGGCGCCGGGTCAGCCCTGGCCCGGGTCACCGCAGGGGAGCTCCGAGGCTGGTTCCGTCGGACCGAGGCTCAGCCGCTCTGAGTCCCCGCTTCGCTCACTAGCGGACGGAACCGCGGCGGCCACTAGGGACGGCTGAGCCCGCGGGAGGGAACCGCGGCGGCCTCGAGGGACGGCTGAGCCCGCGGCCCGCACGCGCCCGCCCCACACCCTGCCCTTCAGGGCGCCGGCGCCGCTCCCGGCCCCTCGAGCTGGGGCAGAGCCTCGCGGTCCTGGCCCAGGAGGAACCAAGACTCACCGAACTCGACGCCGGGGTTGGCCGAAGGGAGCGCTTTCTCCGTCATGCCCCAGTTGAAGGTGTAGCAGTTGCCGCAATCAGGGTGGAAGAGGGGCGTGAAGTTCCTGGAGGGAACGCACAGCTGGGGGCAGGGCCGGGCCGGCTGCCTCCCGACCGACCGACCAACCGACGGGCTGCCCGGGCCCGGGGAGGGCCAGAGGCCGAACCTCCCGACCGGCTGCCCCGTGTCCCGGAGAGGGTGAGGGGCCGAACCTCCCAACCGGCTGCCCGGGACCCGGAGACGGTCAGAGGCCGAACCTCCCGACCGGCTGTCCGGGGCTGGAGAGGGTGAGGGGCCGAACCTCCCGACCGGCTGCCCGGGGCCCGGAGAGGGTCAGAGGCCGAACCTCCCGACCGGCTGTCCGGGGCCGGAGAGGGTGAGGGGCCGAACCTCCCGACGGGCTGCCCCGTGTCCCGAGAGGGCCAGAGGCCGAACCTCCCGACCGGCTGCCCGGGGCCGGAGAGGGCGAGGGGCACCAGGCGCTGTCCATCCGGGTGCCTGAGCACACGCTGGAGACCCCCAGACCCCCTGGCCAAGGGGCAGAAGGGAGACTCTGGGGTCGGCCCAGGCTCTCCAGCTTAGCCAGGGATCACAGAAAAGAGGTTTCTTCTATGTTGTCATCTGTTTCATCCACAGGGTCCTGCAAGCCATGTAGTAGGTTAAACTGTGGCCTCTGAAGGTATGTTTGCGTCCTAAGGCCAGGGACCTGTGACGGGACCCTATTTGGAGGGACTCTTTGCAGATGTGACTAAGGACCCTGAGGTGAGGTCAGCCTGGAGGACCGGTGGACTCTGTCCAACCCCACTGTCCCGACAGGAGCCGGCCAGGAGCTGCAGAGGAGACAGGCCCGTGAAGGGGAGGCAGAGGCTGCGGCCACAAGCCCAGCAACGCTGGGGCCCAAGAAGCCGGGAGAGGCAGGAAGGGGCCTCCCCAGAGCCCCTGGAGGGAGCGCCGCCCTGTGACACCTTGATTTCGGACCCTGGCCTCCTCCATAGAAGTAAGTTTCTGTTGTTGAAGCCACTGTCTCTGGCACAATCTACAGAGGTGGACTGGCCAACCTTGGAAATTCAGATGAAGAGGGAGGTGGCCTGAGACAGAGGGCGGGGGTGGGGTGGGGGGTGTTGAGAATCAGGAGAGGGTTCAAGCAAGGGCTGAGGACAGACCACAGCGAAATGAGGCATGAAAATGACCCTCACAGGTCTGTGCCATGTCATCAAAGTGCTTCCTAAGGAAAGAGTTCGACGAGACCTGTTTCCACCCAGATGCGTGTAGAAGCAGACAGGATAATGTAGTTCCAAAGAATTTTGCTACAAAAAATTTTTTGACATGGAACATTTCAAACATATAAAAGCACAGAGACAAAGCTTATCACCAGCTTCAACAGCCATCGCCCCTCGCCAGGCATGTTTCATCTCTACCTACCCCCACTGAACCTTTCATGGTATTCTGGAATGAATCTCAGACATCATAATTTTGTTTGTAAACATCTCATATGGATCTCTAAATGAAAGCACTTAAAAACAATGCTGCTACCATGTTACAAATAACTAACAAAAATGCCATCATATTATTATTATTTTTTTCCTTTGTTGATTTTAGAGAGAGAGGAAGGGAGAAGGAGAGAGATAGAAACACTGATGAGAGAGAACATCGACTGACCGCCTCCTGCATGCCCCCCACTAGGGACTGGGTCATGTGTCCTGACCAGGAATCGAACCAGCGACCTCTTGGTACATGGGTTGATGCTCAACCACTGCGCCACATGGCTGGACGCCTTCATATTATTACCCAGGTCAAAGATCCAGTTGTCTCAGACATATCAATTTTGTTTTTACAGTTTATTTATTTAAATTGAGATCCAAATGATGTTAACATGTGATTGGCTGATATGTCTTTTAAGTGTCCCTTTCTCTTTAAAAAAAAAAGTCTTTATTGATTTTAGAGAGGGATGAAGGGAGAGGTAGAGAGAGCTAGAACATTGATGACAGAGAGAAACATCGATCGGTTGCCTCCTGCATGCCCCACACTGGGGATCGAGCCCACAACCCAGGCAAGTGCCCTGACCGGGAATTGAACTGGGACCTCTCAGTCCATGGGATGACGCTCAACCACTGAGCCACACAGCCAGGGCTTTTAAATCTTCCAATCTTTTCTTGCAGTGTAGCTATAAAAGTAGCTCCGGTGAGACCCAGCCAACAATGAAGAGGGAGTGAAACAGGCGGGGACCGCGGTCCGCCCCTGAGGGGTGAGTGGCGCTGGCAGCGTGCAGGTGTCTGGCTGGAGGAGCGCAGGCGGCCGAGCAAGCGGCCTTGCCGAGACCTGCAGCCAGAGCAGGGCAGCGTCTGCCGCCACCACTGACCACAGATGGAACAGGCTCAGTCTCCCCGGGAAGTCCGTCTGCAAGCCCCGGACCGTGGGGACCCCGGAGATAAACGCCTGTGCCAGAAGGAGAGGGAGGTGCCCTCCAGACGAAGTGACTGGGAAGACTTGGGTACCATCGGCGTGTGGACTGGAACTGGACCCTGACTCAAAGCAGCAAGCAAACAGAGTAGGACATTTATGAGGGTGAACACGCCGAAACACTTGATGCTATTGAGGAATTATTGATGATTTGCTTTTTTCAGATGGGATAATAGTATTGTGGTTCTGTTTAAAAAACAAAAAGGGCAAGCTCGGCCAATGTGGCTCAGTGGATGGAGCGCCGTTCCATGGACTGAGAGGTCCGGGTTCGATTCCCGGTCAGGGCACAGGCCCAGGTTGCAGGCTCGATCCCCAGTAGGGGGCGTGCAGGAGGCAACCAGTTGTTTCTCTCTCACATCGATGTTTCTATCTCTCCCTTTTTCTCTCTCTAAAAAAAAATCAATAAAAACATATTTAGAAAATAAGTCTTTGTTACAGATCCATCCTGAACTCTCACCTGAGCTCACCCCATTCTGTTCTGTCTACGCCACGTCCTCCCTAGAATGTACAGCCAGCTTTAAAAATGTCTCTGGCCCTGGCTGGTTTGGCTCAGCGGCTAGAGCGTTAGCCCGTGGTCCAGGGAGACCGGGGTTTGGTTCCCACTAAGGGCACGTACCCTGGTTGGAGTTTGTCCCCGGCCTCAGTTGGGGTTGTGTGGGGTCGAAGCCAGTCGATGTGTTTCTCTCACATGGATGTTTCTTTCTCTCCCTCTCTCCCTCTTGCTCTATCTGAAGATGAATGCAAAAATGTCCTCAGGTGAAGATAAAAAAAAAAATGTCTCTGGATGCTTTCCTATTGTCTCTCTTATTCTGTTAAAAACAGGAAGGGCTGGGTTGGGTGCACCCCATGCACACACACATGGCCCAAAGCACAGGGTTGTCCTCTAAGCCTCGCACCCCACACACATTCCCACTGCCCGCCCGAGAGCGTGCACGGAGCCTGCCCAGCTCCCACGCGGAATGGCTTGCTCACAGCTGCCTCCTTCCGACGGAAGCCCAGTGAGGACGACGGGGTTGCGTCTTCTCAGCAGAGGCAGAACTTAGAGTCTGAAAGCCCAGGCCTGGGAGCAAGCCAGCCTGAACTCAAGTTCTGGCTGTCACGAACCAGCTGGAGAGCCAGGGGAGTCACCTACAGCCCAGGGGTGTGACCGCACCCACCCACAGGACTGCGGGGAGGTGGGACGCCCGCTCAGTGCTCTCCTCGGAGCCCGACACAGGCGGCAGGCACTCAGCAAATATTTAATGTTATAAATTGCAATATGTGGTGAGGTGTCCACAGAGATGAGCTTGAAGTGTCGACACCTCATTCCCCTGGGAGTGGGCGGGGTGGGCCAGGGGGGCTTCTCGGAGGTGAGGCCTGAGCTGAGACTTGAAGGGTGAGGGAGGTCGCTGACCTGGGAGTGGAGAGGGTACCCCGAGCAGGGAGCAGCCTAGGCAAAGGCTTGGAGGGAAGGGATCGCTTTGGGCGGGCACTGTGGCGTCTGCCTCTTGTGTGGGTTCAGGGCTGTGGCCACAGGAAAGGAACGGAGCGGAGCCAGCCAGCTACAGCCGGGCACTGCTCTGGAGGGACAGACCCGCCCCAGGGGCGCGGGGACACAGTGTTCCCAACTCACTGTCTCCAATGTCAGCCCAGGAGGCTGACCAGGGTGTGGCCAGATCCTCTCCTGCCTAGGGCTACCCTCTGGGTCTCCCTGTACCCACTTGCCAACTATTTGCTTGTTGATAATGCTCTTTACCCAGGGAACTGCTCCTAGTACTGGCCGCCTCCAGCTGCAAAAGCAGGTGTTGCCCTCCCAAACCTTTCCTGGGCCAGGGGCCAGGCATACAGAGACCCACAGGCCTCCAGGGCAGGCCAGGACAGAGAGAACCCTAGCACGAAGCAGTATAAGAACAGCGGTGCTGTGTGGTGGGGTCAGGGCAGGCTTCCCAGGGCAGAAACGGGCTAGCCAATCATGTCGTAGCGGCAGCAGTAGTAACAATAACAGTAATAAAAATACTGATAATGATTACCTATGCGTAGGTCTTGGTTTCTAAATACCACTCTCCACTGAAAGGAACCAGGGGTCCTAGGAGCAGAGGCTGATTCTAGGCCCAGGACACCTTGGCGTGCCAGGAAGTAAGGAGCACTAAAAAATAAATAACTACGTGCACACATGCACGAGGACATGTCAGAGGGACTGGACAAGGTTCTGTGGATGAAAAGGGTTTCTGTAATAAATCGGACAAGTCCCGTGATGCAGTCACCTCACAGGGGATCTGAGCAGACATTCCTAGCCGGGCGGGTCACAGTGGGCGGTCCTGCCCCAGGCCTGTCACTTCTTGTTGTTTTTATCCTCACCCAAGGGCATTTTCCCATTGTTTGTTCAGATGGAGTGGGAGGGAGGGAGGGAGGGAGAGAGAAACCTTGACGTGAAAGGGACACATCGAGTGGTCCGCACGACCCAACCAGAGCTGGGGACAAACTGCAACCGAGGTACGTGCCCTTAGTGGGAACTGAACCCGGGTCTCTCTGGACCGCAGGCCGACGCTCTAACCGCTGAGCCAAGCCGGCCAGGACTAGGCCTGTAACTTCCTTAGTGAAAGGTTGATCTTTGCCTTGACAAGTCCTGCCCATTGCTCCTGTGTGCCCAGGTGAGCACACCTGTGAAATGCCAGCGCGACCCTCTTCCAGACCCTGGGAGGCCACGGGAGGGAGCACAGCATCGCCAGTACCTGCACCTGACCCCTCCGTCCTCACGCAGTCTCATTACGTCACCTTCCCGCCTTAATTCCAAATGTGCACAGTAAACTGCAAGATCATTTGGGATCGTCCCGGCATTGTGGTCAGTTTAGCTCAAATAAACTCATAAAAATTCGCTTCAGGTTTGGACGTACTTACAGTGACACGCCCAGGGCGGAGGGGGAGGATCTGATTGGAGGATGAAGTGGTCTGGGCGGAGACCCGTGAGGAGCAGGTGCCCAGCGGAGAGCAGGCAAACCTGCCCCGCACGAGGCCCCCGGAGCAGCTGGACTGTGCTGCCCCCCCACACGGGCACACCACTGGCACCTTGGCCCAGGGCGGAAGGCCAGCCCCACAGGTCCCCTGACTGATGTGGGGGGGAGGGCCCTCGCCTCTGGGTCTTCTTCTCCAGGCCGTCTTATCTGAGCAGACCCCTGGAGGCCTTCGGTGAACGCCTGGCGGCCTCTGAATGGGCTCAGTCCCCAGCAAGGGGTGGGGAGCCCGCTGCAGCCCGGACAGACTGAGGAGACGCGGGCTGCACGCAGTGTGGCCTCGGCTGGGATTCGGGGACAGCAAAGGGGCACCCGGAAAATCGATGGAATCCGAGCACAGTGTTGCATTTAGTTAATGGCCATGGTCAGTGCTGGTTTCTTAGCTGTGACTGTCGCCATGGTGACGTGTGGTAACAGAGGAGACTGGGCGAGGAGGATGAGGAGACCGTCTACCATGTTTGCAGCTCTCCTATAAATCTCAACTGAGCCCTGGCCGGTTTGGCTCAGAGGTTAGAGCGTCGGCCTGCAGTCCAGAGAGACCGGGGTTCGGTCCCGCTAAGGACATGTACCTCGGTTGCAGTTTGTCCCCGGCCCTGGTTGGTTGTGTGGGTGGCAGCCACTCGATGTGTCCCTTTCACATCGATGTTTCTCTCTCTCTCTCTCCCTCCCACTCTATCTGAACAAAAAATGGAAAAATGTCCAAGAGTGAAATAAAGAAATAAATAAATCTCAACTGATCCCACAGGGGAAAGGGGGCTTTAACAATGCTCCTATGATTCTCACCATGCGCCTCCAGGGCACAGGGAGCTGGAGCAGGAGCGGGGCAGGCCCGCGGGGAGGGCGGGCGCCCCGGCACCCTCACCTGTAGCTGCAGGGCTCGGCCCCGAACAGGCAGGCCAGGACCAGCTGCTCGCCTGGGTAGCCCATCTTCACCAGCTCCTGGGCCGGCACCTGTGAGAAGATGTTGGTGGCCTGCAGCGTGTACCACTCCGTCACGGCCTGAGTGGCGCTGGTGAAGTTTCGGAAGGTGCACACGGTCCCGTTGAGGCAGCACTGCGGAGACCAGGAGGGATTCCTGTGAGTGCCGGCGGCTGGCAGGGCCCAGACTGCCCAGGCACAGGCTGAGAGCTCGGCCAGCTGCCCCGGCCCTGGCTGCACCCTGGCCGGGCTGCCGGCTGGGCAGTGAGCCATGTTTACGCCCACGCTCACACGTGCTCAGGGGCTGCGTGGTCACAGGACTCACATAGCTCCAACCCCACAGGTAGCCTTAAGCATGAGCGCACACACACACGAATACCCTTATGTGCACATACATATGCACACATGCACAAACACATACAGAGACACATGCCTGTTTTCGGACATCCCAGCCACATGATGCCATGGTCACAGCTATGCGTATACATACCAGGCTCCCCCCAGCCCATGACCTGCACGCGCACCTGTGGCTCCGCACTCAGCTCACGTGAGCACACGTGCAGATGGACACACTCACAGCTCCGACTCCCTGACCCTTTTCCAGTGCCCTCCCGATGGTCAGAGGCAGCTGCCCGGAAGCCTTGTGAACCGCGGACTCCAGACCCGCCTCCCCTCCTCTGGGCCTTGGGCCCTGTCAGCGGAGCCTGCCAGGGGTGCAGGGCCGTCCGCTGGCCGCGGCTGGCCCACCACCAAGTCCAGCTCACCACCAGAACCCTCGCGGCCCTGGGCCGCTGGTCGGGGCCTCGGTCCTCCACTCGCCCTCCTCTCACAGTGCGCCGTCCTTCTGCAGCCAGGAGGCCGGAGCGGCTCCTCCTCTGAGACGGCCTGGCCGGGCCGGCAGGTGGGGAGGCACTGTCCTGGGGGTGCGGGAGGCCTCCCTGTCTCCCCGTAGGCAGATGGTGATAACCCAGCACTCGTCCCCAGACTCTGTTTTCACTTCAATGTGTGGGCTCACTCAATCTCACAGCACCCACCCCACCGTCCTGGGGGACCAGAGGCCCCGAGAGGCTAATAAGGTGCGGCAACAGCAGACCCTCTCCCCACTGTACATGCACACGCACACACACTCACACACATGTATGACACACACAAGCACGCACAGCACACACACGTGCATGCGCACACACAGCACACACATGTATGCATATATGCATGCACACACATACATCATGTACACACAGTGCAGTACACACATGCACACACATGTACGCACATGTGCACACATATAGCACACACATGCATGCGTGCACACACACAGGGCCTGCCCTGAGAGTGGTGCAGCCACCAGGGACACGCCTCACTTGCTTTACTGATGGGGACACGGGTACAGGCAGCCAGAAAGTAGTTGGGCCCTGGGTTCGAGCTGGCAGCGGGACCCTGAAAGCCTCAAGCTCTGTGCAGGTGAGCGTGGAGATGTGGGCGGTGCTGACCATGTGGTGCCCGGGAGGCAGTGGCCTCTCTCTGGGGAGAGTATGGCCCCTGCCCGGGTCCCCAGCCAGGCTGATTGTCAGCATCACCAGGGAGCTGGTTAACGTTACAGACCCCTGGGCTCTGGCACAGGACTGCCCTCAGGTTCTGCAGGCGCAGGGCCCCGGAATCTGTACAGGCACAGAGCCTGCACCCTGGGCACCGACAGGCGCACCCAGTCTGTGCAGCTGAGCTCCGGCACTGACTGCGGTGCGCTGTGGTTTCTCACCGGCCCCATGTTTCTGTCCCCGTCTTCTGATGAAAAGACTTAATCCGTCCTTCAGGGACTCCCCTCCCCCCTCGCTCAATGCATGTGGTCCGACAGAGGCTGACAGGACCCCTAGTTTCAGGGCACATGACCCCAGGACGGGCCAACCATGAGAGCCCATCCTTCAGCCACAGTGATTGGGTTAGGGGTGAGCATGTGACCTGATGATCAGGCCCAGGACTTTTGCTGTGGTCACTGGGAAAGAGGAGCTTTCTCGGGGGGTGCGGGGCCGGGGGTGTGTGTCTGCACTGCAAGGCCCTCTGTGTGGAGCGAGCCAACCAGAGAGTGTCACCTGAGAAAGTACAGATGATGAATTATAGAATTGTACACTTGAAACTGATATAATTGTTTTTTTAAATCCTCACCTGAGGATATTTTCCCATTTATCTTCAGATAGAGTGGGAGGGAGGAGGAGGAGGAGAGAGAGAGAGAAACATCAATGTGAGAGAGACACATTGATTGGTTGCCTCCCAAATGACCCCGACCAGAGCCGGGGACCAAACTGCAAGTGAGGTATGTGCCCTTGGTCCATGGGCCGATGCTCTAACTGCTGAGCCAAACTGGTCAGGACAAAACCTATATGATTTTATTAACCAATGTAACCCCAATAAATTCAACAACAAAAAGTGGTGAACCTAGATAGAGAGAAATAACCCCTATGACAGCATCTGAACGCCTGCATCCAACCACACCTAAACTCAATGTACTCGCAGACTTTTAGTATGTGAGCCAATGAATTCCCTCTTTTGCTTAAGCTACTTTGAGCTGGGTCACTAGTATCCAAAAATGTCTTGACTAACACACTATTTCTTTCTCTTTTTTAAAAAGCAAGTGGGAGTGTCTGTCTTTTTTTTTTTCTTTTGATTGATTTCATAGAGAGAGGAAGGAAGAGGGAGAGAGAGACAGAAACATTGATGAGAGAGAACATCGATTGGCCACCTCCTGCATGCCCCCCAGTGGGGATCAGGTCCACACCTGGGCATGAGCCCTGACCAGGAATCGAACCAACGACCTCTTGGTGCAGGGGTTGACGCTCAACCACTGAGCCACACCAGCTGGGCCCAGCTATTTCTATGTTTAAAGTAGCTCAACAAACATGTAAAACCGGCCCTGGCTCCTGCCTGCCTTTCCCCTAGCAAGACCAGGTCGTTAAAGAAAAGCCACTCCCTCGGCCTCACGGGGAGGGCTGACTAGCGGACCTGTGCCTGGGGCCCACTTACCAGCCTCATGGCTACTTTGCACTCCAGGGCGTTGCAGGTCCTTCCTGGTGCTGGGCTGCTGCTTGCCGAGTCATTGTGATGGTCTGCAAAGAGGTCGAGGACCACCGGGTGGTGGGGGTTCCGCTCATCTATAAGGACCAGGGGTGTATGGTTCCAGAGGGTGAAGTTCAGGGCCTCGGTGGCATTAGCACGAGTTGGCTCTGAAGCCACGATCCTCTCCAGGACGGCTTCCATCAGTTGATCCAGGTCCTTTAGCAAATGCCTGACTTTAGAATACCTGGGTGGGGAGAGGACTGGTCAGGGGGTAAGGCCAGCTGAGAAACAGAGCCACTGCAGCCCGGGACCCCTCGGACCCCAGCACAGCTGCCACCATGTGTGAGAAGAAGGCCCTGCCCAAGCACCACCTCCCTACCCACCCACCCATGTGTCCACGTGTCCACCTACCCACTCACTCATTCATTCACCGAGATTTAATGAGCACCTACGATGTGCCAGGCACTGCAGTGAGAACGGAGGCTGTGGGAGCTGCTGTGAGGTCCCGAGCTCACCCACTGATGAGGGCAGAGCTGAGCCTGAGTCTGGATTGGTGGCTTCAGGGGGCGTGCTGTCTGTGCACGGGAGGCAGGGTGTCTGCTGCCTTCCTCCCGGGAGGGGAGAGGAAGCACAGGGAGGCGAGGAGGCCTGTGACCCTGAGGTCCTAGTTTTCCAGCAGTGATTCTGGGAACAGGAGCTCGTTTCAGGAGGGAGAAGGCAGACTGTGGGCTGAGCATCTCAGCCCTTGGAGGTTCTATACTGGAGATGGTGATCAGTTAGTCTGGCAGCAACATGTCCATACCAGGAGGTGTCCCCACCAGGCCCTGTGTGGGGGCCCAGGCCCTCTACCCCAGACACTCCATACCCTACACCAGACTATGGTCACCGGTATATGTGAGCGCTGGCTGGAGGGCTTCCTGCAGGAGACACGATTAAACCCTGGACACAGGCCCAAGTTCTGGTACAGAAGTGTACAGAAGCCAGTGCTGACATCATCCTCGGACACTGACATCAGCCTGCCCCTGACCATCAAACCAGCCACCTGTGTGTACACAGGAAGAGGAGGACCGGGAAGGTGGCGAGCTATTGCGACGAGGGAGGCTATTATTGCCCAGATGTGCACAGCTGCTGTCGAGCTTGGTGGGTCACTGAATGGGCTCTGGGTTCAAATCCTAACATTGCACTTAATATCTGTGTGGCCTTGGGCAAGTAAGCCTCTCTGAGGCTCTGTCCTCTTATCTACAAAATCAGGGGGTTCAAATATTTACCATAGGAGGCTGTTGGGAGGCTTCAGTGAGGTGATGCTTATAAAGCACTTGGAACAGTGCCTGGACAGAGTGCTGTTTTACTATCATTATTAAGGGTTCTCTTGCGTAGCTGCAAGGGCCCACCCAATCAGGCAGAAGACCTATTACTAAAAAAAAGGAATTTTCTGATAACTGAAAATGTAAACTGGAAGTATGAATTCCCTTCTAGGCCCTTCTTGTGGACAAGAATGTTTTCTGACTCAGCCACGCTGATCCTTCTTTCAATTCTTTGAATGCACCAAGCTCTGCCTCACCCCAGGACCTTTGCACATGCTGTGCCCTCCGCTTAGAGTACTCTCTTCATCCCTGACTGGCTAGCTAACTTGTACTCATTCTCTGGGGCATTTTTCCATGACTGACCCACTGCCTGTCCTTAATCCTGACTAGGTTGGGTCTCCTTGTGTGTCCCCTTCATAGGCCTTGCTATCAAGTGGTTAAATGGTGGTAGGTCTCAGATCAGGCCTGAGTTCAAATGCCATCATTGTCCACTGTGTGTCTCTGGGCAAGGTTCTTGAACTCTCTGAATCTCCACTTCCTGACCTGTAAATGGGGGCTACTGCAGGAGAGCCCTCCTCTGGGGTAGTTGTGTGGGTTAGAATTACATTAATTACCCAGGAACTCCCAACACACTGCCTGGCACTTCATAAGCCCTCAATACATGGCTGCTGTATAAATACGTATAAATATATTTCACCACCACTTTATAATTATTGAACTATTATAATTAATTTAATATTTAACAGAAAAAGATTAATGTCTTTTCTTTGATAGGCTGTGAAGAGGGCAGGCACTTCTATTCGCTGATGTACTCCTGGTGCCCAAAACAGTGCCTGGCACACAGTAGGTGCTCAAAACACACACTGAGTCAGTCACTGAGGCAGGGCTACCGGGTATTTCTGAGGCTTTCTTTAAGCCTAGGACATCTATGAATTTTGAATCTTATTTGCTGCAAAGAGAGGAAAGCAAAGAGAGAAAGAAAAAGAAGGGAAGGAAAGAAAAGGAATAGAGAAAGAAAGGACGGGAGAAAGGGGGTAGGAAGAAGAGAGAAGGGAAAGGAAAGGAAGGGAGCAAAGGGGAGCTGGGAGCCAGGGGAAGGAAAGCAGACAGCTGGGCTGAGGCCAGCCTTGCGCTCCAGGAACCACCTACTGGAAGGGGCTGGCATTGCAGATGGTGACGGCGGGGAAGTCCATGGTCTTGAAGCCCACGGACAGGGAGACGCTGACCTCCCAGCTCAGGTAGGTCCTGATGAAGACGCCCCACTGCCAGAAGACAATGGAGGCAAAGAGCAGGGTGAGCACGAACCACATGGCCTTCTTCTTGGGCCCCTCGCAGATGATGCGCTTGGGGCCATGGGTATTGGTGTTGTCACAGTACCACACCAGTAGCTCCTTATAGGTGTAGCCGGGGCCCTTCTGCAGCCGGTGCAGGCACTTGAGCAGATACTTCTTCACCTGCATTGTGGCACCTGCAGAGACACGGGGATGCTGTCAGCTAGGACACCAGCCATGTGTCCGAGGATGTCCCTGTTGGGCCAGAGTGTCCACGGGAGCCCGGGAGCCCAGGCTGCTCACGGCAGTCTCTTTCCTTCCCCCTTCCTTCCTTTCTGCCCTCTCTCAGCACCTATCCAACCACAAGCATTTCTCGAGTGCCTACTGCATGCCAGGCACTGGATTAGTCACTCTGGACTCAACAATGAGCAAAACAAACACATTTCTGCCCTCTGGGAATTTCCAGCCTGGTGGACAAGTCAGTTAAACTCCCAGGTCCTCGGGTTCCCTGTCTGTAGAACAGGGCCAGTGGTCCCCCATGTAGAAGGCTGCTGAGAGGGTGAGATTCGGTGCTGCATAGGCAGCGCTCAGTGCAGTGCCCAGCACAGACACCTGCTCAGTTTGTTAGCTGCCACCTTTACAAGCTGTTAGCCAGGGGGACAGATCTTAATCAAATAATCCACCCAAAATGCATGGTTACAAACCGTGACCAGGATAGGGGCCCTGTGCTCTGAGCTCCCAGAGGCAGTGGGTGACCATTAAGAACGCGGACTCTGGAGCTGAAATGTCTGGCTGTGAATTCAGCTCTGCCACTTTCTAGCTGTGACTTTGCGCAAAGTGCTTGTTGAGTGCCCCAGCCTCCTCATCTGTAGAATACCTCCTAAGGTGGTTGGAAGGCGATGAAAGTATGGAGAACGGATTAATGTCTGGCTCCTAAGTGTCCGCTGCTGTGATTACAACCACCTCACATACCCCAGTCTGAGTCCCTGGGGGAGCTGGGAGTTCACAGCAGGGTTCAGTGGGGGAGTAGAGTGGGTGGAGGGGGCAGCAGGAGCCTTGTGGGCCATGCTAAGCATTTGGGTTTCAATCCTGAGAAAATTGAATCTTTGCAGGTGTGACGCCGTTGAATCCACCTCTGAAAAGGGCGCTGAGGCTGCTCTGGACACAGTGGGGCGGGTCCAGGAGCAGGCCGAGGGGTGGGCGGGTCCAGGAGCAAGGGCAGGGTGGGCAGGCAATGTCTAACCTCCCTGCTTCTGTTTCCCATCTGTGCGAGAAGACGGGTTCTTATGAGATGAACCAAGATACGAGCGCAGGGCACGGCTGGCTTCTCAGGAATGTGTTTCCTCCTTTCCAAGACAGAGCGGGGCCTGCGCAGGGCCCCAGCCCCATCCTTAGAGCCTCAGTTGGGTACCGCCACCTCCTTCATGAAGCTGTCCTGACTCCCTGCAGAACGGACCCTCGCCCTCCTCTGAGAGCCGCTGTCAGTGAGGTGCTTGCTTCCCAGCACCCCCGCCCCTCGCCCTGATGTTCGCTGCAGTGACCTGCCCTCCCCAGTCACAGTGCTGTGAGTTGCCAGTCGGACCACTGGGACTCAGGTCCGTTGCTTCATGCTGGGATAACTGTGGAAGAAACCCCCTTTCAGCCAAGATGACTAAGTTGGTGGCATTTGTCACCACGAGTGGGAAGACCACCGAGAAGAAAGCCAACGCAGAGTAGCCTGAGGATGGAGAGATTTCTGACACCATTTAAACACCTGCCTGGATCCGCAGTTTCTGAAGCCATTTATTCCTGAACTCATCAGATATGGGAACCAATACATTTTCTTTCTTGCTTTTGCTGATCCACACTGGGTGTCTGGCCCTGGCCGGTTTGGCTCAGTGGTTAGAGCATTGGCCTGTGGTCCAGAGACCCGGGTTCGGGTCCCGCTAAGGGCACATACCTAGGTTGCAGTTTGTCCTTGGCCCTGGTTGGTCGTGCGGGTGGCAGCCACTCGATGTGTCCTTTTTATGACAATGTTTCTCTCTCTCTCTTCCTCCCACTCTATCTGAACAAAATATGAAAAAATGTCCTCCGGTGATGATTAAACAAAGAAACAAACAAACAAACTGGGTGTCTGTCAGATATTTACAACTATTAGAATCTTTTTTTTTTTAATCCTCACCCAAGGACATTTTTTGCATTTATCTTCAGATAGGGTGGGAGAGAGAGAGGGAGGAAGAGAGAGAAACATTGATGTGAGAGAGACACATTGACTAGGACCCCAGCTAGGGCCGGGGACAAACCGCAAACGAGGTACGTGCCCTTAGTAGGAACTGAACCTGGGACCCTCTGGTCCGCAGGCCAATGCTGTAACCTCTGAGCCAAACCGGCCAAGGCACAACTATTAGAATCTTAATGAAAAAGAAATTCGCCTCGTTCTACCCCGTGACCGTTTCTCACCATTTTGAGGCTCCCCTGACGCCTACCTTCTGCGTGTCCGTGTGATCACTCTCAGTCGAGAAGCTCAGCTGGGTCCGGCAGGTCCCCGGCGCCGGTGACCTTGCTCGTCTCCCTTAACAGCGAGGCCTCAGGTGTCTAGTCAGAATGAACACCTTTTCCCCTGGGATTATTGTTAAGTGGGATCTTCTATTTGTGTCGAGATACTGGCTTTTACTTTAGGTTCTTAAATACACCTAGGTCAAAAAAGGAACATATTCAGTGGCCAGTAGCGTAGCAGGGAGCAAACGCTGCCGCGGTGACAGTGAGGTTTGCTGGGCTGGCTGAGCTCCCAGCCCTCATCTGCCCCGCGGAGATGAGCCAAGTGAAGCTACAGCCGCTTTTACGTCAGATTTCATCTCCAGGTGGTAGATGGTCTGTGTTTGGGATGCAGAAAGAGCTTGTGTAGAAAGTTTTAAATCTGTTTACAGCTTAGCCCTGGCCGATTTGGCTCCTGGTTAGAGTGTCGGCCACAGCCCGAAGAGGCACGGGTTTGGTTCCGGCCAAGGGCATGGACCTCGGTTGCAGTTCATCCCCGGCCCTGGTTGGGTCATGCGGGATGCAACCAATCGATGTATCTCTCTCACGTCGATGTTTCTCTCCCTCCCTCCCTCTCTCCCACTCTATCTGAAGATAAATGGAAAAATATCCTTGGGTGAGGATTTTTAAAAAAATTAATAATTCTGTTTACAGCTTAAACCAACCGAAACAAACTCATTGGAGGTGGAGCTCGTAACCTGGACGCAGGAGGAGTGGACGCTGCCATGTCTCAGACGGCACGGGAGGCCGCCGTGTCTCAGACGGGCACGGGTGGCCGCCGTGCCTCAGACGGGCACGGGAGGCCGCCGTGCCTCAGACGGGCACGGGAGGCCGCCGTGCCTCAGACGGGCACGGGTGGCCGCCGTGCCTCAGACGGGCACGGGTGGCCGCCGTGTCTCAGACGGGCACGGGTGGCTGTCATGCTGGCAAACTTCTACAGCAAGTTCAAAAAATGATAAATGTTGTGTGCGCCCATTCTTGTTCTCTTCTAAGAGAAAACATATGCTCATCTCAGAGACAAATGCTCCCTGAGGCTGGGCTGTCCTGGAGGAAGGGTGGCTGGGAACCCAGCGTGTGTCACTACTTACTTTGACCAAAGACACGTAAGTGCTAATCATAAGGTCACTTCCTCCGAGCCTCCTGAATGAGAGGTTGCATATGGATGACCCAGGAGCTGCATTGGATTTGCAGAAGTATTTTTCCCCCTTAGCCCAGTATTAAAAAAAAAAATTCTCTTTTTGTCCAAGCCGGGTGGTTCCCTTGGTTGGAGGGTGGTCCTGTGTACCAAAATATGTTGCAGGTTTAATCCCTGGTCAGGGTGCGTGTGGGGGACAACTGACTGATGTTTCTCTCTCTCCCTCTCTGAAAATCAATAAAACATATTGTTGGGCGAGGTTTAAAAAAAATTTCCTTTTTAAAATAACAGCTTTATTGAGATATAATTCACATATCCTAGAACTCATCCATTTAAAGTGTAGAATTCAGTGGATTTTAATATATCCAGAGTTGTTTAACCATCACCATGATAAGTTTTAAAACACTTTTGTCTTCCCCCAAAAGAAACTCCACCCTCCCCTACCTCAGGCAAGCGCTACTCTGTTTTCTGCCTCTGTAGATTTACTATTCTAGATATTTCATACTGGTGCAACCATATATTATGTGGGCCTTTGTGACTGGCTTCTTTCATTTAGAATAATGTTTTCAAGGCCCATCCATGTTGTAGCAGGTGTCAGGATTTTGTGTGTTTTTTTAATTGTCAAATAATATTCTATATGATGGATATGTCACATTTTATTTATCCATTCATCAATTAATGGTCATTTGGCTATTATGAATAATGCTACCATAAACATGTGTGTGCAAGTTTTGGTGTGCACATGTTTTCATTTCTCTTGGGTGTATACCTAGGTGTGGATATACTCACTGGATAATAGGGTAATTCTATGTTTAACCTTTTGAAGAACTCCCAGACTGTACTCCATGGTGGCTCTACTATTTTAAATTCCCACCAGCAGTGTATGAAGGTTCCAATTTCTCCATATCTTCTTCTAACCTTCTACCAGTCATTAAAAATTATCATAACCATCCCAGTGGGTGTGATGCGGTGCCGTATTCTGGTTTTGATTTGCATTTCCCTGATGACTAATATTGTTGACCATCTTTTCATGTGAGATTGGCCAAAACAGTCATTATATGGCCAATAAATCTTTGGAGAAATATGTATTCAGATCCTTTGCTCATGTATTTTAATTGGTCTATTTGTCTTTTTATTACTAAGTTCTAAGAGTTATTTATATATTCCATATAAGTTCCTTATCAGATGTGGAATTTGCAAAAATGTTCTATTTTGTGGGTTATCTTTTCACTTTCTTAATGGTGTCCTTTGAAGCACACAACTTTTAAAAAATTAATGAAACCTAAGTTGTCTACATTTCTTTTGTTGCTCATGCTTTGGTATCATATCTAAGAATCCATTGCTTAATCAAAGGTCATAAAAACTTATCCCTTTTATTTATTATAAGAGTTTTATAATTTTAGTTCTTATATTTAGGGCTTTTATCCAGTCTGAATTAATTGTTGCATGTGGTGTGAGGTAGGGGTTCGATGTCATTCTTTTGCCTGTGGATATCCACTTGTCTGATACCAAGACGATTCTTTCCCCATTTAACTATTTTGTGAGCCTTAGTGTTTTCTCAAAGGTATATTACTTACATGAAAGAAAACCTAAGTAAATGGAGAGACACACCACGTTCGTGGGTCAGCAGATTCAATATTGTTAAGATGTCAATGAACTCCAAATTGATCTGTAGAGCTAATTCAATCTTAATAAAAATCCTAGCAGACTTTTTGCAGAAATCAACAAGCTGATTCTAAAATTTATATGGAAATGCAAAAGAATTAAAATAGAAAAACAACCACTTTGAAAAAGAAGAACAAATTGAAAGACATATACCATCAAATCAGAGTGATATTGGTGTAATGACGACCTATATTGATCGATGGACTAGAAACAGAGTCCAGAAATAGACCTACAAAGGTGCCAAGGTAATTCAATGTAGAAAGGACAGTCTTTCAAACAAAAGATGCTGAAACAAATGGATGTCCATAGAAGAAGTGAATTTTAACCCCCTACCCCATACTATACAAAACTTAATGTAAAGTGGGTCAGAGATCAACACAAGAGCTAGAACTATAGCATCCTGAGGAGTGTAGGGAAAATGTTGGAGTAGGCAAGGCTGTTTAAGACAGGCGACCAAACCATGAATCAGAAAAGAAAAAAACTATAAGTGTACTTAATAAAAATAAAATCTTATCTTCAAAAGACACTGTTAAGAAAATGAAAGCGAAAACCGCTGGGAGAAAACACTTGTAATACTATGTCTGACAAAGAATTTGCATGCAGAATATATAAATAGTTCTGAGAACTCAATAGGAAGACAAAAGGCCCAACAAAAAGGGTCAAAAGGTTTGAAAAGACACTTCATAAAAGATGATATCTGAATGACCCATAGGCACACAAAAAGATGCTTAACCTCGTCACTGGGGAAATGCAAATCAGAACCGCAGGAGGCGCTGCCTCCGCCCACCAGTCGGACAGCACCAGTCAGCGAGGGTGTGGAGCACCCGCACGCTCCCACGTGACTGGTTGGAATGCACAATGGTGCAGGCACTTTGGAAAGCAGTTCCGCATTTTCTCATGAAGTTAAAAGCACACGTATCACATGACCTAGCAAGTCCACTTTTATTTATCCAAGAGAACTAAACATATGCTCAAATGAAGACATTTCCATATATATTGATAGCAGCTTTATTCATTAATAACCCTAAACTGAAAACAAGCCAATTGTAGAATGTTTAATTGGGTGCATCCATTTTTAAACACTCATCAAGCATGACACTTAGAATGGAGGTATTGTATTGTATATCAATTATACCTAAATAAAGTTTTAACCAATCACTTCAATCCACTGCCATTTCAAAATTTCACATTAAAAAAAAATCTAGATTTTCTTCATCCTTTGAGAAATCAGAACGACCTGACCACCGTCCCCACGTGGCATCGGGGATGCCCGTGCTCCCCTCACCCTCGTTCCCTGCGTTGGCGTCTGTGGCATTTGACTTTGTGGCCCCTGTAAATTGTAGGGTGGATACTTTCATTAAAATCCCCTGCACTTATTTTTCACCAAAACCTCAATTACCCAAGGTTATCAGGGAGTATGTGTTCTGGGTAGCTGGATTTTTATAGTTAATTAAAGGTTCACCTAAAAATGGATTTGACTCTGGTTATTGAAAAATCTTTCTTGTTTCTGCCTCTGCTCGGGCAGCCCCCGAACAGGACCCCTGTCCTGGAGCAGCCAGCCGGGGTGGGAGCCACAGGCGGGCTCGGGCGCCAGGCTGGAGATGGCGCAGGAAAGCTTGAGGAGAGAGGGCGGAACCTCTCAGGGGCCAAGGCACCCACTGGCATCATTTATTTATAAATGTAAAATGTGCGCTGCAGGCACCAGATCTGGGTCTCTGTACCATCCTGACCAGAAGAAACCAGGGCTTCTTAGAAAAAGTGGCTCATGCCACTTCCGGTGCAGGAAACGTACAAGAAGAGCCTGGGCCCTCGGATATACCAGCAAGCCAAGGAAGGTGCCAAAGACAGCTGGGGTCACTCAAAAGGACTCCTTGAAGCGGTTCTTACTGGCAAAGGTGGGACGATTTGAGCATCTTTAAAAAAAACTGCAATGAATTGAAACATTAAATGCATAAAAAAATTCGTGAGGTCAAAATAATACTGAGAAGCGGAGTAAGGAAAACATTAAAGTTACTGATAATAAGTGTCATGAATAGATGGGTCCCACTGAGTTTTTCACCTGTATCTGAGGCACTAGCAGCTATTATGTTCAGTAAACTGCTTAACTTACTGCAAGACCCTGCAAATTGCAACTCGACATCTAGTCCCAGGCCGGTTTTTGTACAGCCCTTGAGCTGAGAATGGTTTTTATGTTTTAAAGGGTTGTAAAAAGACCATGACATGACAGAGACACGTGGCCTGCAAAGCCCGGACTGTGACCTATCTGATCCTTGACAGAAAAGCCCTGCTGAGACCTGGTCTACTGTGCCCTGAGTACTTGCATTTAATAGAATGAAACCTGTTACATGGTTGTTCATA